TTTTTGGAGCCGTTTAAGTGTGAAAATAATTAATATTTCTGCTTAGAGCGTGGGGGGAATCGGTACCCCTCATAGGGAATTGGTTCCCCTCATAGGGAATCGGTTCCCTAAGTGTAAAATTCAAATATTTCGACCGTTGAACAGTGGGGGGAATCGGTGCCCCCTGGGGGGAATCGGTTCCCTCCGAGCATACTGGAATTCTCGAAGCCAAACTATTTAGGGGGAAATCGGTACCCCCTTGGGGGGAATCGATTCCCTCTGAGCAATCTGGAATTTTTTGCTTTGAAACGGTTCAAAATACTTTGTAAAATTATTTTGAAATTGTTTTAAGATTAAAACTTAATTTTACACTTGAGTAAGAATTAAAAATGACTTTTGCAAGATTTAGAGTAATGTTTTGATATTCGAATAATTATATCGAATATACTTAGAAAATCTTTTTGGAAAATGTTAAAATTCATTTAACTTAATTTGTTATATCGAAATATCAAAATGTTTTCAACAGTAAGCCTTTCGAGCAAGTTGATAAGACCTTCGGGTCATTCATAAGACATTCGGGAATAATGTTTTCAACATTTTCATTGCTTGATTCACGACATTTAAAATCAACGACGTCTCTCAAAACAAATTTTATCTCACTTGAGATAGTTTTTATTCGAACAAATTTCTTTGCATTCATTTAATTTAATTTCACATTTTTATCCAAATATTGAATATTTGACAGGAATTCCAAAAGATTAACAAAGATTTCAGCAAAGATTCAAATCCATTACTCGATGGATCAACATTTCTAGAAGGAGTTCGTAATAAGAATAACTCATTTGAACAGGAAGAAGAAGTTCATAATCTGAAGAACTTATTCAACCTTTTGCTTAAGGAGATAGATCAACATCAACATTTCTAGAAGGAGTTCGTAATAAGAAGAACTTATCTGAAGAGGAAGAAGAAGTTCATAATCTGAAGAACTTATTCATTCGACTATATCGCAAAAGGAGATAGAGCAGCATCAACATTTCCAGAAGGAATTCATAATGAGAAGAACTCATCTGAAGAAGAAGAAGAACTTATTCGACATTTTCATCTTAATCAAGAGAAGTCAAATGGACAAAAAAACTTATTGTCTTTTCGTCTTTGCCCTATTCTTGTTAACACAAGAATGAGCAAAGAGGGGCAACTGTAGACACTAGTTTTTTGTCCATTCTGTTTTATTATTATCATATTATTATTTTATTATTATTATTATTATTATATTATTATTATTATATTATTATTAAATAATACTAATTACAAATATTATAGGCCCAGACCCGGAGGCCCAATTACAACCCAGAGGCCTGATTACAATTTCAACCCAGAAACCCAACCAGATCCAGAACCCGAGTTGACCCGAGACCCAATCCGGTCCAATCTCAGCCCAACAGACCAGATCCAGCAGAACCCTTATAGGGTTTTCTTCTCAGCTTCCAGCCATCAGTGATCTCAACCGTTAGATCTGGAGAGAATCAGCGGCCTAGATTGAGTCCAGCATAAACCCTAGGGTTCACCAATCCCAGGGCGATTTCGGCGATGCCTTCAACTGCTCCGCCGCCTCCAACTGCTCCCTTTACATATTCCTCAACCAGCCGCTGCAACGCCACCATCGCCGCACCGAAGGCTCCAAAAGACGGAAGAGGATCGCACAACTCATCGAAGCTAAGGTGAGTCACCATCATAGATCCGGTGACTCACCGAACGAACAGTATCTCGAGGGCTATAAAAAGCCTCGATTTACATACAAAGAAAGAACGCACATAGTAAGTAAGAAAAAAGAATGAAGAGGAAGCAACACACCAACAACAACTCACCAAAGTAACACACCAACAGCAGTAAAATCGAAAAAAATAGAAAGAAGAAATCGAGAGAACTTACCTCGCCGGAAGCCAAAATGTCGTCGGAGAACCCAAATATCAAAGGTAAAAAGCCTAGAACTATAAAATTTGGTAGGGTTTTAGGCTAAAAAACTTTCGGATTTGGGTTTAGAAAAACAAGGGCTTTATTTTAGTGTATTTTTGTAAAATCGCGGTGGCGATCGGCGCCGGAACAAGGCTGTCGGCAGGTGACTGGTTTCCCTCCGACGAGGGAAACCTAGAGAGAAGACAGAGGGAATTATGGTTCTCTCTTTTAGAGAGAGAGAGAGGAAAAAAGAAAAATGAGGAGAGATAGGCCCTTAGGGTCGATTTTCGGGTTTATATACCCCTCCCCGAACATATTCGTTTTGGGGAGGGGTCTGTGCGTAATTTCACACATGGGTAAATTATGTCCGCAGTATCTCTGGTTTTATAACTTTGCAATTTGGTCACTGAAATCAATTTATGTACTTTTTAATTCAGTCTTTTAATTTTGTTATATTATATGTTAGTCCTTAATATTATTTATATATATTTAAAGGAAAAATAACCTAGTTAGCCCCTATAATTTTAATAATTTATATTTTAACCCAAATTAATTAATAAATTATGATTAAATTACAATGTCAGTACATATATTTTATAATATTTTGAATTAGGGCCTTTAATTTTATATCTTACGATTTAATCCCTGATATTTTAATAATTTTCATTTTTTTCTTTTGACTGTAAGTTTTATTACTTTTTAATTTAATCCTATAGTTTTATTTTGGTCAATATTAATTGCAATTTTATTTTATTTTTACCCTTTATGTTTCAATATTTTAAATATAGTATTTAATTATTATTTTATTTTTATTTCATTTTAGTCATATGAACATATATATTTAATTAAATAATAATATTTATTTATTTTTAAATATTAAGAAATGGTTGTCTTAAAGTAACTAGATGTTCTACTCTGGTATTTTAAAATAAATAAATACACTGCTTATAAAAAACCTAAAAATTATACTTACTTTAATTTTGGTTATATCAAATTATTTCTTGATAAGAATTATCAAATTCTTATTATTTCGATCGGAAATAGAAATATTCGTCCTAAAGCATTTTAGGGATTAGTTTCTCTTCGATTGTAAATATTTGAATATTTTATATTTTTCCTTAGAATTTTTCTTTAAATAAAATTATACAATTCAATCTGAAATAATATAATCGTACATTAAATTTATATTCAAATTCTTAGACTTTCACTAACAGAGACAATTTATAATCGACGGGTACTAATTTTGGGCGTTGTGGGGTGTTAATCCTTTCCCAAACGTAACCGACCCAGAATCCCTTTTTTTATTACTAAAAAGAATGAATTTCTGGTTATACACAGACTGGTTTATCTTTTAAATGATGTTTTTTAACAACTCTTTTAAAAGATGATTTTTAGTTATTCGACCTACCTAACCCGAAAGGTTCGATGGTGACTCCAAAACATTTCATGGAAAACCATTTCATTTATTCACTCGCTTTTCCGCCAAGAAACATTCGTGCCCGGGCGAAAATCGGTTACAATACATATCATTATGGGTGAGTTGGTTGCATGGATACAAGTTCTGTGATTATATTTGTTAAGCAAATAATTTTGCAGCCTTTTCACATAAAAGAGATACTCTTGTTGTCTATATGCGAGGGTTAGTATGGGACTTTATTTTGGTTACAAATGAAAACTGCACAGCAGTGATTTGTTCAATCAGCTACATTGTTCGAGTCTCTTCTAACGTAGTTAAACTTGACGATCCATTGGAGTTGGAGCAAGGTATCGCAGCCTCATGCACCTGTGTATTGGTTTGAAGAATTCTTATAGTCTCAATATTGTCGATGTCCACTTCAATTTGATTTGCCCCACGGTCTCATGCTAATGATAAGCCATCCAACACTGCATGGAGTTCGGCGTGGAGAACCGAGCATCTCCCGATGTTCCGATGAAAACCAGCGACCCAAGCGCCATTACTATCTCGAAGAGCTCGTCCACCTGTTGCCTCCATAGTTCCTTGGTTAACAGCCCCATCTGTTTTGAGCTTTAACACGCCAGCTTTTGGTGGTTGCCATCGGGACTTCATAGCTCGTCTACCACGACTATGGTCATTCCCTGGGAGGGAGATTCTAATCATCGGAGCCCAAGACCGTGTCGATCGAATGACCTCCGTGAAGGACCAGACCTGCCCATTAAAAACAAAATTGTTACGATGTCTTCAGTGGCATTCGGTGCGATCAAGGTTCGACTGCTTGCTCAAATTTTTCTTTATCCAATCACCTAGTGGGGCGGAAAAGAAATCTTAGTTCTTCTTCCATCACCAAGAGACCAGCAAACATTGTTACGGATGAAAGTCCAAACATGGGAAAGAGATCTCCAAACGAAGGAACAATCTTGAGTAACTAATTGTTTATACTTTGAGCGAATAACCTGAACCCATATAGCATCAATTGTTATGATTTAATGGCACAATTTAATTGTTACAGTCGATTAATCGTGTAAATCAATTGTTTTATTGACATTAGGTGACTCATTTGTAAACTTACTAATATTTTTATGATATGTTTTGTAATTTAACCAAGAAAAACCTTTACTTTGTTAAATCTCGAAGTTAACTGATCGGTTAACAAAAAGAAAATCAAATTAGTTAGGCATAATGCTAAAAATAGTCTATGTTTTTTAAAATGATGATTTTAATTTTTATTATTGAATATTTTAGCTTTAGTATTTTATTTTAAGATAAAAAAACTCATTTTATATATGAAAATTAATACTTAACACATGATTAATATTCTAAAAAAAGCTCTTTTTAAATTTAAATGAAAAGTAGAGGGCTAAAATATCTCAAAAAAAGAATAAAAAATAAAGTGATTATTCTGTCGAATATTATGAATATTTTTATTTTAAAATAAAATGTCGAAAGTCAAAATATTCTAGAATATAGAATAGGGACGAAATAATCATTTTTGACAAATATTGAGAGCTAATTTTGGCATTATGCGAATTTGTTAAATAAAGTGCTACTATACCAGACTGTTTAGCTTTTAGAAGTCTCTAGACTCTCCCCATCTTGACGTTATTTTTAAATTCCCATGGCCTCGAAGTAGCTTTTTCATCATCAACGATCCCCCATGGAAGATGGCTTTGATTTCCCAACAGCCAGCGACATGGAGGAAGACGAGATGGGTATCCTAGAAGATGACCCAGTTAACTCAATTCTCAAAGTTGGAGAGGAGAAAGAGATCGGGAAAAATGGGTTGAAGAAAAAACTTGTTAAGGAAGGTCAAGGATGGGCGACTCCCTCCAATGGTGATGAAGTTGAAGGTAACCATCTTCTCCATTCATTGATTTGGTTATTCTTTTGTTTGATTTTCTTTTTATTTTGAGCTGATGGGTTTGTTGATTTTGATTTACGTTTTTTTTGTCAGTGCATTATACTGGAACTTTGCTTGATGGAACCAAGTTTGATTCCAGCCGCGATAGAGGGACTCCTTTTATATTCAAGCTCGGCCTAGGTAGATAATTTGTATCTCAGCTTCATTTCTTGATTTGTTTAGTTAGTTTCTCAGTTAAAGCTGGTGTTTTTAACTTTTTTATAATTATACAAATGTAATGAAATTGGATAAATTCTGTTGAATCTCGTGATAATGATTCAAAAAAATGAGTTTGTTTATATGCGGATTAATTAACTAAGTGCTTTTTTACTAGAAAATTGCTTGGATAAACTGTGTTTTCTGATAATTTTCTGAATTTAATTAGGTCTGAACTTTAGGATCCTTTTTCTCATGTTTGGAAATTGATAGCTAAGGGTTTTCTTTGATTAAAACCACGCAACATACATTAAATCCCGGTGCGATGTTTGGATGTTGTTTCATGGAAGTATTGAGAGAACTGGGAGGTTACTTGTCCGAAAAGAAAAGAGAAAATGAATGATATTTGGATGTTTTTTTGAAGCATTCAGAAAACAGGAAGGTTATTTATCCAAAAAGGAAAACAAGGGAGGTTATAGCTACCTAATTCAGTGAATTAATACAGTGAATTATTTCAAATTTCTGGACTATTTTGGTTCTGGAGTATCTCTCTGTAACAACATGAATGGGATATTCTAACTTTTTTCTTTCCTTTCAGGACAAGTAATCAAGGGCTGGGATGAGGGTATCAAAACCATGAAGAAGGGTGAAAATGCAATTTTCACAATACCTCCCAAGTTGGCATATGGTGAATCTGTATCACCTCCAACTATACCTCCTAATGCAACACTTCAATTTGATGTGGAGTTGCTTTCTTGGACTAGCATCAAGGATATATGCAAAGACGGAGGAATCTTAAAGAAAATAGTTGTTGAAGGGGAGAAATGGGAGAATCCGAAAGATTTGGATGAAGTGTTTGGTAAATATAAATTTATTTCCCCTTGATGCTTAAATTATTTAAAGATCTTATGTAACTATGTGCTTAATGTGTTATAGTTAGGTATGGAGCTTGTTTAGAAGATGGTACACTAATTACAGAATGTGATGGAGTAGAGTTCACTGTTGAAGATGGTTAGCTGTCATTCCTCTTTATCGCACTCTCATCCTCATTGAACCGTGGTAGCTTAAATATGACAGTGAACTTTGTACCTGCAGGCTATTTCTGCCCTGCATTGGCAAAGGCAGTAAAAACGATGAAGAAAGGGGAGAAAGCGTGGTTTATAGTGAAGCCAGAGTGTAAGTTAAGTTCCCTTATATTTTATTGGTTATGGCACACTATGAAACCTAATCAATTGCTGTTTGCTTATAGATGCATTTGATAAGGATGGTAGGCCGGCAGTGGGCAGTGAAGTTGCTGTTCCTCCAAATGCTACCCTTCATGTTACTCTTGAGTTGGTTTCGTGGAAAAGCATTTCTGATGTCACGAAGAACAAAAAGGTCTTGAAGAAGATCTTGAAGGAGGGAGAGGGTTATGAGCGACCAGCTGATGGAACAGTTGTTCAAGGTAAGATGGAATGGAATTCTATGTTTCTTTATATATAATATATTACAGTGTTTTCATTGCTCTTTTTTGTACTGTTTGCTAGTGAAATTAATTGGGAAGCTGGAGGACAGAAAGGTTTTTGTGAAGAAGGGTCATGATGAGGAGCCCTTTGAGTTCCAAATCGATGAAGGTAATGATAGTTTTCTCATCCTAGTTTGTTTCTTTCTCGACTTGTTCCTTCTTATCTTTCCTCAATAAGATCTCATGACATAGTAGCGTTTTGTTTCATACCTTGCCTTCATTAAAAGTTGTTTCTAATATAGATGACATTTGTTATAGAGCAAGTAATTGATGGTCTTGATAAAGCTGTGAGGACCATGAAGAAAGGAGAACTTGCACTTATCACTATTCAGCCAGAATACGCTTTTGGTTCATCTGAATCACAGCAGGAGTTGGCTGTTGTTCCTGTAAACTCAACAGTGTATTACGAGGTTGAGATGGTCTCTTTTGTGAAGGTTAGTGTTTATATTGCCTTTTACCGCTATGCTACATTTGTTCACTGCGAGTAGGTGTTGTGGTGACCACAGGCTTTTTGATTGCAGGAGAAAGAATCTTGGGACATGAATGCTCAGGAAAAAATCAAAGCTTCTGGGAAGAAGAAAGAAGAAGGGAATGCTTTATTCAAGGCTGGTAAATATGAAAGAGCATCGAAAAGATATGAGAAGGTATGCTCATGTAACATGCACTTTGTGATTTATGCAAATCTGGATACTCTTTTTTACTAGTGATTTGCCTATTTCACAACAATGCCTTTGTGCAGGCTTTTAGGTTCATAGAATATGACTCTTCTTTCACTGATGAGGAGAGGCGGCAAGCTAAGTTGCTAAAAGTAACATGCAATCTCAACAACGCAGCTTGCAAATTGAAACTCAAAGCTTACAAGAAGGCTAAGAAATTGTGTACAGAGGTTGTAGCTTTAATTGAATCTGTCTTGTTGAAATGTAAACATTAATGCATTCATGCCAACAGTTAGGCGTGTGCGATTTTGTAGGTGTTAGAACTTGATGATAGAAATGTGAAGGCACTATATAGGAGGGCTCAAGCATATATTCAACTTGTTGATTTCGAATTGGCAGAGGCAGATATCAAAAGGGCCCTAGAGATTGACCCCGATAACAGGTATTTCTCTACTGAAAACTGTTGTCTGTATTTTATAATATGGTTGCTTTTGTTATTTATCTGAGTTATATTCACTGCATCCTACCTTGTATGAGTGGTGACATGCGAGCTGGGTACGAATTTATCTCAAATGTTCTAGATTAATATGCACTTTGCTGCACTTGGGAAGTAGTGGTATCTTATTATATGTAGTCGGATTTTGAATAAAGCTAGAAATAAGGAGTGAAAACTGAAATTTAGTGTAATATTGGATAAGAAATCGATTTGCTTGCAGCATCCTTTTCCTTTTGACTGCAATGGTTATAAACTTGTGATTGCAGTTGAAGTAAAATGGTTCTGAACTTGTGTTACCGTTGAAGTTAATTTACCAATCTTGTTTGTAACAGGGATGTGAAACTCGAGTACCGAGTCCTAAAGGAGAAAATCAGAGAGTACAACAAGAAGGATGCACAGTTTTATGGAAACATAATTGCAAAGATGAGCAAGTTAGAGCAAGCAAAGGAAGCAAAAAAGCAGCCAATATATACAACCATTGTTAGCAAGGCATGATACCATTCGCCTGAAACAAATCCCCTTTCTTCTCCTTCTTCTCTCCTCCCTTTCTTCCTTCTCAATGTTATACAAGAGTTAAGATGAACTCCGTTATAATATAATATAATATGTACATGCACGCATGCATATTCGATAGAAAAAGTTTCAGATAGGGCTAATCACTTGGTCTGAGAAGTCATGTATGATGATGACGGTGTTCTGATTCATCTAACGAAAAATCTTTATTTCTGTGGACTCCAAGCAGGTTTGTAGACTGCCGGTTATTTTGGTTTGCCTCCTCTTGATTCTTCCGGTGATCGCAGCCGTAATCTGTCAAAAATGGTCTGATCCTCTCGTAGATCGAGTAGTTGTGTGATGTTCAAGGATTGTGGTGCTCAAGTTCATGCCGAATTTGCAGCTGAGAATAAGATCAATCATCTCAAAGTATTTAAGCCAGTTTGTATGAAGTTTTTCAAGTTAAAGTATAGTTATTGTACTTTATAACATTGTACCATGGCACTTGAATTTGTTTGGTTTTATCTTGCTAAATTTTATGCGATGAAATTGATGACAATTATAATCAATCCCTACTGTAATAAAGTGAATAATTTAATCCCCATTCATATATTTATGAGTATGTGTATAATTTATTTATGTAGGATAATGATTAATATTTTTCAAAAATAATAGCAGATAAATAATAATAAAATAAAACTCAAGAAAAATATATTATTATTACAACATTAATTATTATTTTAACTAAAATTTTAATTTACGATAATAATTATCAAACTGTGATATATATGAACTTTTTATATTTTAGTAATAAAATTATGATAAATGTTCTTACAATAAATTAAGGTTTGTTAAGACAGTTTTACCGACAGATTTTCTCAACCCCAAACAAAAGTTTTACATTTTACCTTTACCGATCTTTCGACGCGTGTACTTTTTCCCTCCAAAAACTTGACAATTCAACTTTAAAAATACCATACGACCCTTCTATGCCCTTTATACATAATAGAGCAAAACTCTATTCGAGAAATTAATTTTCACTCTATTTGATTTAAAAAATTGAATTAATTTTGAAGTGTACTTTTTCCCTCCAAAAACTTGACAATTTCATAAAATATACTTATTTTAAAATAATTTTTTAAAATTAATTTTATTAAGTCTTTTATTTTTTAAACAGTTTTATAATTTAATTTGTCATTAAATCTTTTAAATTAAATTTTATCACAACATAAATTGTAAATTTAATTATTACTATTATTATTATTCATATGATGAAAAATTAATAAGCACATAAGTCGTGAAATTGTTTAGGTAATGGACCGAACTGCATCCGAAGTGACTCATGATGATATCTTCGGTGAATATTCCGAGAGCTTTGTAGATTGGGTAACTAATGGAAATTTGCTTCTTCCGATAATTGTCAAGTCGAACTAGTTCGTTATAGATTCGTGATAGAATTCATTTCAACCACAAGAAGAAACAAATTGAATCCATCCAAAGGATAAATTCGAGATAATAAAAATAAATCGGCCGAAGGTCTGGCTTTTGCCCGAGGAAAAGCAAATTTTTAGCTCGTGTTATATCCGATGATATGACTGCATTTGCTTTAATCACGATGAATTCATTAGGTGGTGTAAATTGGTGCCTATAACTAATTCATTTTGGAGCTCCGATTGCCTCTATTTACAAAAAAGCCATAGGGATTTTGATTTCTAATGCTTGTAAATATTTCATAAATAGATTTATGTCGTCTTATTGAGAGCCCCTTAACATTATTGGTATTCTTGTATTTCCTCGTGCTTCGGTATAACGTCTTTTTGGGAAATACATAAATGTACATTCACAAATTTATCATTTCATGTTATGAAACTTTTGTCTTGTATATTACTATTAGCTTGAATATTTGAATTTTATATTTTCAATCACTTCAAGTAATATTAGATTAAAATTTTGGACATAAATTTACTTGGAAATTAAGTTTTTTTCCTTGAATCATGGAAGAGGGAGGGGCTTCAAAACAATTTCACAATCTATGTGCTTATTAATTTTTCATCATATTAATAATAATAATAATAATAATAATAATAATAATAATTAAATTTACAATTTTTGTTGTGATAAAATTTAATTTAAAAGATTTAATGAAAAATTAAATTATAAGACTGTTCAGAAAATGAAAGACTTAATAAAATTAATTTTAAAATAATTTATGCACCGAGTGAATTTTTCTTCTTCACAAACAAGATTTTAATATTAGTATTAATTCTATTTAAATATATAAAATTTTATGCACCGAGAAGATTTTATTTTTTTTAAATATAATCATAAATATTTCATTTTATATTTTATCATATCCAACAAAAACATATATAAAAAAACTAAACATCTATCAATTCGACGAATGAAAATAAAATCAATTCTAAATAAATAAATAAACTTATAAAAATAAGATAAAAATAAATAATTATTAAACAAAAATAATTTACAAAATAAATAATAGGTTTATAAAATGGATATATAAGATGAAATTATTTGGTGGTTGAATCATTTGTTGAATCATCTTTCAATGTCGACTTTGACGATAGATAAATGTGAGAAAAGAAAGAAAACAATGAATTAAACAAAAGAAAGGTAGAAAATAAAAAAAAATAAAAAAAGTTTGGAGAAGAAAAAAAATGAAGTGAAAAAACATTAATGACAAGTCATGGGTAAGTTTAAAAAGTAGTTTACCCTAACATTAAAAAAATGTTAATTTTTTTATTTTTATAATTAATTTTAAATTTTTGATTTTCTTTTTTTAAAGCCATTGGAATTAAACATTTAATTATTTTGTATAAAAATATATGTTGAGTTAATCGATTGACGGAATTGGCCAAGAGGGGGTGAATTGGCAATTAAAAATTTGGTGAAAACTTTTGCAGAAAATTGAAAGTAATTGCACAGCGATTTAGAGTGGTTCGACTTTCTCAATCAAAGTCTACGTCCACTACCTTAGCTATCCACACTAAGGATTTTCCAACAAATTCACTAATTTGTTCTTTCTTTTGAGGCCAAAGAGATAATCTTACAACACCCTCAAGAATATACCCCAATTCTTGAGAACACTCTTTCCCAAAGAGAAGATTACAAATTTGCAAACTTACAAGGAAAACCTCTCAAGGTAATATGTTTGCACAATTCTAGAACAAGAAAAGAACACTCATAAATAATTACAAATGAGCACAAATGGTGTTCTTTGAAAGCAAAATGAATATTAAAAGGAAAATTGGCTTGATTTGCACAAACTTGGTGTTTGATGCTTTCTCTCTTGTTTCTCTATGATTTATTGTTGATCAAGGGCTTCAGAACTTGTTTAAATACACCTTGAATCACTTCTGAACGTTGGGGATGATTAGTGAAGATCATATAGCCGTTTTAGTGTGAAAACAATTAATAAAACAGCTTGGAGCGTGGGGGGAATCGGTACCCCCTATGGGGAATCGGTTCCCTAAGTGTAAAATTCAAATATTTCGACCGTTATACAAGGGGGGAATCGGTACCCCTGGGGGGGAATCGGTTTCCTCCGAGCATACTGGAATTCTCGGAGCCAAACCATTCAGGGGGAATCGGTTCCCTCTGAGCAATCTGGAATTTTTGGCTTTGAAATGGTTCGAAATACTTTGTAAAATTATTTTGAAATTGTTTTAAGATTAAAACTTAATTTTACACTTTGAGTAAGGATTAAAATTGATCTTTGAAAGATTTGGAGTAATGTTTTGATATTCGAATAATTCTATCGAATATACTTAGAAAATCATTTGGAAAATCTTAAAATTCATTTAACTTAATTTGTTATATCGAAAATATCAAAATGTTTTCAACAATCTCCCCCTTTTTGATATAACAAAACATTTTAGTAATTTTAAGATTTTGAAATCAAGTTTTGAAATTACTCCCCCTTACTTTAACACTTCTCACATTTATCATTTAAAAACACTTTAGCACTTCTCCCCTTTTTTGTTAAATCAAAAAGACATTTTAAAGAATTTAAACAAGGTTTTGAAATCAGTTAGCCAATTGATTATATATAATATAAGCTACTAAGATCACAAGCAAGAGAAACGTTAGCCATTAGTTTCATAATCAATATTCATAATTAATGTGAAATGGCAAAATTGGTCATATATCTAATCATGAAGTAAATGATGCAATAATGAATAAATTTAATCACACCAAATAGATAATTTCTAACCATTCATAAATCCAAACAAATTCAAAGTCAATCAATCCACAAATTCAAACATTCCAAAATATTCAAAATGTTAAAACAATAAGTTTGGAGTTCAAAGCAAAACATTGAATCACATATCCGGATCAGGAGGAGGAAAACGAGCTCGCATAGCGGCCATTTCGTTAGTGAGGTCATTAATACGTGCGTTGGTTGTTTCATTATTTGCACGCATTTCCCGAAGAATTTCTAATTGTTGAGCTCCCATTGTGGATAATTGGGACTCTATAGAAGTAAAGCACGAATCCATAGTAGCGTATCGAAAATCGAAAGTCTCCATAAAGGATTGGAAATATGGAGGCATTGGATTCGTTTGTTGTGCTTCCTCTTCGGGCTGCTCCTCGGGCTGCTCAGGCTCATCTTCGGCTTCATCGATGTCTCGCATTAATTGCTCAAGCTCGAGATCTTCGTCAGCTTCGGGTGGAGCTTGTGAAGAACTAGCTCCCGGAGTATTTGCAGAAGATCACCGGTTTCCTTATCCTTAATCCATCCCGCTCTCGTTAAGGAAAATAGGTTAATTTGTTTCTTAAGGGGAAAAACGGCATCTAGACCGACTCTAAGCCCAGCTTTGGAAAACAGATTACTCAAAATGCAACCGTAAACAATAGATGAACAGAGTTTTTTGTTAGGAACAAGATTTACGGTTTCAACAATTTCAGCAAAAATAATATGAGGTAGGTTGATTTTAATATTGTTTTCAAAACAATGTAACCACCAAAGATCTAAGGCTCTAAGAGTAGAATAACGACATCCGGATGGTCGAAACCACCAAGAAATCATTAGATGAAGAAAACGTTCATGAAGGTCTAGGACACTTGCACTATCCCTTCTTTTATAACGAGATCCTAAAACCTGTTTTCATTTGAAATCCCATGATTATCTAATCCGAATGTATTGGCTATGTAAGCCGAGTCAATATATAAGAATTGTCCTAGAAGGTAGGAACGAATTCCTATGGTTTCGTTTCAGTTTGGTTTTTAACACAAACGGCATTAGAATAGAAAATACGAACAAGTTGATGGTAAACGATGGGTTCAAGGTCAAAGAGTTTATCAAATTTCCACTCTTGTAAAAGAGGAAGATATTTAAAATTGATAGCTAACATAGCTTGACGAGAAGGAATACGTTCTTCTCGGATTTTATAAGAGTCGAAATATTGATAATACCAAAAACGATGATTTCTAGGACCAGGATGATTGAAACACGAATTTTGGATAGTCAAATTAGGATCAATAGGATTAGGATTAGAAATTGGAATAGGTGGAGGATTTGGAGGTGGATTTGGTTGACGGTGTGAACGAC